ACTAAGACCCCTCCTCTTTTGCCTTCCAGTCCTCCAAATGAGGTGGTTGTCCTTGCTTCTGTTCTCTGTATCCTTGGGAATTTATGCTTTCATTAACAAAATCCCTGTTCTGTTAGTTTATTGGTACAGGGGGGCACAGAGATAAATTTGTGTTTAGTTTACTATTTTCAAACCAGAAGTCATCTTCGTTTTTAAACATTCTTGACTATATTTCTCTTGTTATCAAAACAATGTCTTTTGAAATTTCCCTGTAAGAATGAATTTAATACTTCCCTTCTCTTGTCCCTGTTTTCATTAATGTGAAGATCTGATCTTTACCTATTGTTTAAATGTTTTATGTTACGTTATTCCTTAAAAACAATGCCCTTTAATTTGGCAGTGAAATTAAGGGTAATTATTTAGGTTGCTAACCATAGTCCTTTTATTCTAAAACTATGCTTTTTATTTCTTAATTCTTGTTTATATCTTGGTGAATTGGATTTGGCCTAACTAATTCTTTAGTAAAATTTAGTGTCTAATATATTTTTAGAGCCTTTGAATATATGAGAGTATATTTCATATTTTTCTTCAAATGAAATACAGTCTGGCTGCATTAGTGCTCTGTGATTGGGTCTTTCCTTTCAAAACTGAAGGCCAATGGACATTGGTTTATTCACAGTGACTGGTTTTCATTTGATTTTTGTGTGTGAACTTGTTTTTGTTTTCATGCCTGAATATTAAAGGGTTTTTTCCTTTATCTTTTTTTTTTTTTTTTACTGTAATCCTTAGGATTCAAATTTATTTTTTCAGAATGCAGCTTTGAGTTGATATTGCTTATCAATATCAATTCAGACAAAGAGGGCCAGGCCACCTGTCACTATGCAGAGCTGGGGCTTAGCTCCAAACAAGCTTCATTTTCAGATGGCCAGAGATTCTGGAGGACAGAGAGAGTAGCCTCTCAGTTCTATTCTGCCTCAGTTGCAATTATAATAACTTTATAATGAAATACAAGGAAACCAACCTAGAAGATTTTTAACTTTATCTGATAGGAAGTAACATCAAAGTAACCTCCATTCTAACAGTACAAAATGTTTGAACAACAGAAAGGAGATTTTTCACTTTAACAAAATATCTAAGAGAATCATCCGAGACCTATCACATTATCAAAGTAACCTTTCTCTCCTCCTATCACACCTGTTATCTATGTGTGACTGCCTTCTCAGAGTCTCCTGAGGGAAACATCCTCATAATCGCAGAGAAAGCTTCGCTAGATAATCACAGAAGGTGTGTGGGGAAGGCTGAGCAGACTAGGTCAGTCTCAAGGCTTCAGCTTAGCTTCTCAGACCCCATCTTGCAGAGTGCTTTTCTGGCTTTACTTGGAATACAATGTAGTTCTTTTTTTATTCTCCCAGTTCAGGTTTTGTTTTTC